GGCAAAATAAAAAAAAAAAAAAAAAAGATAAATCAATCAATAAAATAAAATATTCGTTTTTTAAAAAAAAAAAGGAAAGAAAAGAAAAGAAGTAGACAAGCACAGATGGGACCAGCAGATAGCATAATGGCTATGTCGCTGAACTCCCATGTAGTTGACCGCGGTTTGACTCCCAAACCCAATAGCTTAAATTCATGCTGGACGCATGCGCGCACACGCGTTTGTGTGTGTGTGTGTGTGCACCCAAGATCCCAAGGAGAATGGAGAAGGGATTGTGGCATGGCCATTCCCCCCGGGGGGGTTGGGGGACGTGATTTCTCACTTTCTGTCTCTCTGTCTCTCTCTGTCTTTCTGGAGAGCGCATGCGCCCTGTAGCAAAAACCTCTCAAAACAAACAAACAAACAAACACAGACACAGACTGGGCACTTACACGGATGAGAGGGGTAGGGTTACCCCAGCAATGTCATTACTTTTAAGGTCTCGAATCCCCTCCTAAAGGAAAAAAGAAAAGCAAATGTTTGTTCTTGATAACGCTGTACGTTTCTCTTTGTACTTCTCTGAGTATTTGGACTATTTATTTGAAAAGACGACTAGTAATTGGTGGAGTCTGAAGGGGGCAGAAAGAAGTTGCAGACAGCGGGAAGAGCTGGGAGGCAGAGAGTAAACCAGGACAGCAACGCTCACTCAGCTCGGCTGGTTCCGGGCACTGTGCTAAACACTGTCAGTACCTGGTACCTGGGTTTGGAAGCAGAAGGGGTGTATGCAGCAAGGCAGGGGTACCTAGGAGAGATGAAATTAGAAGGTGAGTGGAGACCATGCAGAACCTCAAAGGTCAGGCTGAAGGGCTGGGACTCAGTGCAGGAGGGTCTGGGGAAGCCACAGGAGGCTCTAGGGGTAGGTTCTAGAAAGCCCTTTCTAGGGCCAGATGGGCTGAGGGGTGAGACTGGAGGCAGAGAGTCTAGGAAGGATGCTGGGGGCAAGGACGAGGCCTAAGTCAGGTTGGAGAAGAGGGTAAGGGCCAGGAAGCAGAGGATGTGACAGGGAGGGAGGGGATGACTCAGTAGGAGCAGCTTCAAGGTGCCACTGAGCTTGCTGTGGCTCCTGGGAACCTACAGGTCTTCTCCCTCATCGTCTTCTCCTCTCTGCTGACGGATGGCTACCAGAACAAGACAGAGTCTCCACAGCTCCGCTGCGTCCTCAACAGCAACAGCACGGCCTGCAGCTTCGCTGTGGCAGCCAGCTTCCTGGCCTTCCTCACCTGCCTGGTCTTCCTTGCCCTGGATGCCCACGAGGTCCGCATCGCAGGCACTCGCTTCAAGACAGCCTTCCAGCTCTTGGACTTCATCCTGGCCAGTGAGCCCCCAACCTCCCCCGCGCCACCCCTCCTCTTGCTCACAGTCCTCCTGAACCCCGAGACCTGCAGCACACAACCTTCCCTCCCAGCCCATGTTATCTGACTGTCCTCTCACCACGAGGCATCTGACCACACATGACCTGCTCATCTGCACCTGCCCTTTCCTGTTTCCTCCTGTTTCTTGCCCTGTAGACCCATATCAGGGCCACCGTTTCCAACCCACAGGCTAATTCTCCCTTCTCCTGGCTTTTCCCTTACATTCTGTTCCCTTCATCAGAATGTTTCTAGAAAAGTCATCAGGTGGCAAGAAGGGGGTTCACAGCATAGTACCAGACAGCACCCCCTTACCTGTGGGTTTGCTTGAGTCTCTTTCCC